CACTTTCTTTCTCTCTCTGTCCATTCCTTTTTCGCTCCATTGTGATCTCTAACCTTCCAACAAATAAACAATAAAAGAGTCTCAACCGAGTTTGAGAGAAGCGGGAGATTTGAGGGCTCAAGGTGAGGTGTCAGTGACTGTGGAAAGAATCAAGGACCGGAACTATCCGTTTTATAAAAATGATTTTAATTTGACCAGAGAGCATCATTAGACTAGTAGTAATTGCTTTTTCGAGTGTTAATAAATATTTGGTAATAGCGTCTTTGAATAAAAGTGGCAATGTGACTTTTAAAAAAAAATGTATATTAAAATATTTTAGTAAATATTTTAGTTTATTACTAAATTTAATATTAAATTATACTACTAAATTACTAAAATTAATTTAGTTGATAAACAGTTTAATTAGATTTCCACCAAAAGATAAAAATCGAAAAGAATCTTAATTCTTTCTTAAAACGTTCTGCATTAAAACATGCTTGCTGTTGATTTTTAATAGTGATTCTTCTGATTTGGAAATGTTGAGCTATTATTTCAGGGCTCCAGACTGCGACTAAAATGGTCTCATCCAAAAATATTAATTTGTGAGTGATATTTTTGCTGAGATCGCCACTAGCGTCTATATAGATTTACATGTTATGACTCATGCCTTTTTTCCTGATTGTTTTGAGATCACATCTTTTGTTATGTTGACGTAATAAACGGAGACGATGCGCATCAAAGATTTAGTGGAAAAACAGTCCTCATCTCTGCCGAACACCAGCGCTGACGGCACACCTGCTAAAAGCAGCTCCAGTTCTGGCAGCTTGAGAGAGATCGCAAATGACGGAGACGTGCAAAGTAAAAGTGCAGAAAAGCAGTATCAATTTTGTGCACAACGTGAACAAACTACAACAGGTAAAGCCGTCAGCTGTGTGGATATTAACAAAATCGTTGATGATTCTCGTTTATAATCGATACTAATATGGCTTCTTGTTATCAAGATCTTTAGTCTGTATGCTGTTCTGTTAATGCTTGAACTTCATATTATTTGTAGCGCACTTGCCGTCCAATAAACACAATAAGCTTTGTGATTTGTTGCCTTTTAATTAACAAAGTATCAGCTTTAAATTTCTGCCAAATTCGTAACGAAATTCAAACATGCGGCACATGAACCCATCATATCTTTCTCTTTACTACTGTATGAAAGTAGTACATGAATAGACATCAAAAGGTATATTATAAGAGAGCCTACAGTACAACTTAATGAAATGTCTCATGTAAACGCTCATTCAGTGGTTCAAACTGGAAAACGTGTAAAGCTTGTAAACAATGCCACGTAAAAATACATTTACTTCAGAATAACCATTCGGTGTCCATTAGCTCATCAGTCAGCTAGAAAAATAACTTTAAAGAGGAGCATTTTGCTAAATATATGCACTATAATGCATACTAATATTTTTACTCAACCTGTTGTCTACATGATAAGAAAGAATGCAAAGAGCTAAAGGTAAAATTCAACATATCCTATATAATTGCGTGTTACTAATGAAGAAAAACAGACTGGATGTGTGCAAAACATATGACAGCATTTATAGGATGCATTGAGGAGGAGCCCAAACTACACTCAAGGGGCAAGTGATGCTTACATAGTTGTGGTCTGTGATATTGGCACAGATTCTGTGTATTAAACAATTCTTTGTGACCGTATATATTTTTCAAGTTGGAAAAGACGTTTAGTTCCCTCTTTAAGTGAACCTTAGTTCCCAGGATGTCTACAAGATGGATTAAAATGCTGATGCTGTAAAAGGAGGGGAGACATAAACACATGACATTATGACTGAAATGTTAAGGTGTTCAAAAAAAAGAAATAAATAAAACATGTTTATTTTGTGGCACTTAAATATAATTTGGCACCTATTTTGTGTTATTACTTATTTTTTTGTTTTTGGTCTGGAGCCCTGATTTAAAAATACTTGGATACCAAGATAAGGTCTACTGTTCAAAAGTTTAGAGTCAGTAATTTTTTTAATAAAAAAAAATATTTAGCAAGGATGCATTAAATTGATTAAGTGACAAATACATTTAAAATTTTACCAAAGATTTCTATTGCAAATAAATACTGTTCTTTTAAACTTTCTTTTCATCAAAAAAAAATCTAGCATCAACACTTTGAGCATTGCATCACAGGAATAAATTACATCTTAGAATATATTAGTATTTAATAATATTACATTTTTTAAATTGCAATATTTCAAAATTTTACTGTTTTTGTTGTATTTGTAATCAAATAGATGCTGACTTAGTGAGCATAAAAGATTTTTAATTTTTTTAAATTGGAAAAATATTATCAATCCCAAACTTTTAGTGTATATTGAAAATAATAACAGAATACTCACCGAGCCCTATTTCATATTTTATGGCATTAGAAGTGAGTTGCTTGTGTGCATGCCCTAGTCTGCTATGCATTTGATTGGCATTAATTCCCATGTGTGATGATAACCCATGCATGCAGCTGCTGCACTGATTCTTCACTACCTTTGTGATCAAGTCTTAGTGAATAAGTAACCTCAATATTAGAAACGTTCTTCTCCATCTGTTGCCTTAACCTTACCTTTCTCTCTTTCCATTCCTGTCCCGCTCCGTCTGGCAGTCGCCATGTATCTGGGGATCAGCAGAAAGATGAAGGGAAAGATGGAAAAGACGGGAAACCCCGCTCTCTCCGTTTCACCTGGAGTATGAACACCACCAGCACCATGGAGCCAGCCGACATCATAAATGAGATCCGCAAAGTTCTGGACGCCAACAGCTGCAGTCACCAGCAGCGCGAATGCTTTCTGCTCCTCTGTGCCCACGGGGACAGCCGCACCGACAGCCTCGTCCAATGGGAGATGGAGGTTTGCAAACTGCCCCGGCTCTCACTTAATGGTGTCCGTTTTAAGAGGATATCTGGCAACTCCATCGCTTTTAAGAACATTGCTTCCAAAGTTGCAGGCGAACTCAAGCTATGAATATATCTTTAATCTAACTACATGGAATTTATGAAATGGTTCGTTTCAATATAAACAAACAAATTAAGCTGTACAATCATAAAGTAGCAGTTTCCGAATATTTTTTTTTCCTCAATAAACCACTTAGATGTATTAGAAAAAATGTATATACTTTAACTTTGCTTAAAGCAATAATTTCTTAACATCGGTCACACAGTTATCGTATTATCGTGCAAGTCGGTTAATGCTGTAAAAAGAACTTTTCAGTGTTACGATTGTATGATGCTCTGAGAATGTTCAGAGGGACTCATTGCCATCGCCATCATTTCAGACAGATGAGTTGAGGCTGATCATTGAGGCAGTGGACACTAGATGGAGATTTGTGGGGTTTTGTTTTAGCTTTTTAACAGGCACTATTCTGTGGTGGTTTTAAGTATTGTGTGTTTTGGGCGGCTCTTGTGTAAAGGGTTAAGCCCGAATCTTGAGTTGCTTTTTGAAAATTTGCTCTGCGCCTCTATGTATTGAGGGTGCTCGTCTGTGAAAGTGGCTGCAGTAAACCTGATTTGAGCTCAGTTTCACTGTTGGAATGTTATTAAGAGCAACATTTAGATGTTTTATAATTTATTTCACTTTTGCCCACTCAAATGTATTTTTTGTGTAAATAATGTACTTTGTGGCAAGTACACATTTTCATACCGTTTTGTTGGAGTTCTCTGAAACCAAGAGGGCATCTTGTAATCTCTTTCACTTATAAGACTCACCACAGATTCCAGTAAACTATCTGTAACTTGTCACAGTGTTCATTGCAGAGATCTAATATAGCTACAAAATTATCTCAACATTTGTATTGCCTCTTTCGAAGCCAGTTTCAGTGGCTAAATATTTAAGTTTGCATTAAGCTTAAACTCTGGACTTTTAGGTTCAGGAAGATGGATTTGCTCACATTTGGACCAATTAGATGTGAGCAAAGTGACATATCTACAGTGGCCAAGAGAGCTCGAAGCGCTGCAACTTATGAAAACGCATGCAAATAGAAAAAGCACCAGCAAATTAAGAAACCATCATCAGTTTGACAACACATGCTGCAAATACTCAAAATACAGAAAAGCGCTGCAAATACTCGCAACACAATCAAATACAGAACCATGTTTTTTGGCATCTTGACTACTATTTGTATAACCACAGTTGTACAAATACCATGGTTAAACTCTGGTTAGTGTAGCAAAACCATGGTTAATTTGTGGTTACCATGGGTTAACTATAGTAACCAAGTTTTTTTTTGTTTTTTTTTAAATTTAATAAAACCATGGTTCATTTTCATAAAGCAAGTTGTAAAAGTAAGTTAGCCGGCTTACATAATGTTTCACAGTTGCACAATTACACAGTAATTGTGTATTTAGTCAGCTTATTTAGGCTAATAACATCCAAAAAAAGCTAAGGAATCATATGATCAGGATGTTAAAATAAAAATCACACCTTTTATAGCAGACATTGAGAAGCATGTCCCAGCCAGCTTAGTCACTTGTTACGGTTCCCTTAAACATTTCCGATGTGGTCTGTGCGTATTTGCAGCACATTTCTGTATTTGGTCACATTGTGAGTATTTGTAGCGCATGTGTTGTCAAACTGATGAAGAGGTTTCCTTATTTTGCTGGTGTTTTTTCTATTTGCATGCGTTTTGTTTTTTTCATTTGCAGCATGTTGAGCTCTCTCGGCCACTGTACATATCTGATACAATAAAGTTTTGTTCCAAATTAAAGCACTTGACTGAATAATTTTAGAGATGAAATTGCCTGGTTTATTATTTATTTTATATGAATAATATTTTATATCCTTACCGCGTTACATTTTGACAATATTCATCTTTAAATTTCATGATAAATGAATGCAAATACATACATATGAATACAAGCTTATATAAGGCTTTTAAAAGGAGGTTTATAGCGGGTGTTGTGAACCTGCTGAAACTGATCTAAACCGGATTTGTTTGGTTGTCAACTCTAAACCAACTTTGAAACTTAGACTTTGTTCAACTAGCTACTATCACTTTCAGAACTTTTTCCAGCTCATGAATGATAAAAACTTTGACAGCCAATCAGAATCCACTTGAGATATTAAAGAGTTTGAGATATTAAAGCTGCATAACTGCATCACGCTTATAATAAACAGAACATTATTGTGCATTAGTGTGGGCACTAATATAGTTATCGTTCTTGGTGTGGATGGGCTTTTAGTATCACAGTGATGTAATACCTTAGAGAGACCGGTGCAGAAACGGTTGAAGACCTCCTTCATGTTGCCACCTTTCTGCATGGAGATGACACGCAGGTGGTCCTCCTCATTCACCCACACAAGGAATGTCTTGTTATCATTGTGCCTGGAGATGAGAAAATAAGTGAGGGAATATCTTCTATGACCAGCACAGAGATGCAATACATACCTAGAATGAACTAGAACAATCACTTACAGCATCTTTGTTACACATTTTATTTACTTTATTATAGTAATAACAGTAAATTATGCATAATTACATGTAACTAACCCTAAACCAAACCCTAATCCTAAACCTATATTAAGTACGTTAATTAATATTACTCAGAACTTAAATGTTTAATTACACTGTAAGAAGGACACCCTTAAATAAGCTATAAAGCTAGAATAAAAATTCAGAATTTTTTTTTTTTAATGTAGTTTCACCCAAAATTCTATTAATGTCAAGCCAATACTTAAAACCAAACAATTACGAATTTTCTGCAGGTGGCTGGTGCTACCTGTATTTGAAGAATCTGGAACAAACTGACAGGAAGTAGGTTACTTCTCTAAAATAAAATAAAAATACTTCAAAAGTAGCACAAGCAGTGCATTAATCCTGAACACTGACCAGATGCCCCTGGCGTCAGGCCAATCACGAGCCATCCCTGAGGCCAACAGCAGGGGAGACACAGGCTTGTCAAACAGGAAATGGTCATCGATGAGCTGCTGCTGCTCAGCCTCTGTCATGTTTTTCAGGGCGTAATATTTTCCTTTGAGATCCCCAGTCAGGGCACCCAGAGCTACAGACAGATCAAACCAATCTGTGAGTAAATCCTGTATCTTTTTTGTTTGTTTGATTTCAAATAAATGATTTCTTAAGAAATATCATAGAGAACAGATTAAAATGTCTAAGAAAGGAATATTTATGTTGGTCCAGTCATAGAGGACAATACTCATCACCACAAGAGGGAGCCACATGACCAGGCCTACGCGCCAGCAAGATAAATACTGCGTCCCTACTTATTTTGCCTACTTATACTACGCCCCGTTTGTGGAGAGAAAAAAAAAATAAGTGTGCTGCAGAGACATACCTTCCACTGAGAGCTTCTCAACAGCTCTTCTCTCCCCACGACTGCAGTGGGGCGGCAGGCCTAATCCGCGGATACTCCTGCCTGTTCTGACACGAGAGCTCAACACGTAGTTGGCATCCAGATCATCACCGCCCTACAGAAACAGAAAGATTTAGTCTTTAAACAAGCGATATCACTGTACCAAATATTAGTGATCAGTGAGTTGTTTTGGACCCCGCTGACTTTAATTATGTGGACAAAAACATTCTTCAAAATATCTTTGGTAATATTCTGCAGAAGAAAGTCAAAACACTTTTGGAACGACATGGCGAGTAAATGACAGAATAATTTTTGGGTGATCTATCCCTTCAACTTCATACCTTGAGGTTATTGGGATTGAGGTCGGTCTTGTGTTTGTCTGTGGGTTTGTATCCTCCATGTCTGTCCTGAATAACAGGGTCCAGCAGCTCCTTGAACACCTCATAGGTCTCCTCATCCCCAGCCACACAACCCACAGTCATAATGAAGGGGTGGCCTGAGGTGGAAAACAAGTCCATGTACACAAATTAGGAGCCATGCACATCAGATGAAAAAAAACAAAAAAAAAACACGTTTAATATCATGTGACTTCTCTTAGGACTATCTAACCCTGGCCCTGACCCCTGACAGACTATGTGTGTTCTTTTACCAGGATTATCTACGCCAGTCTGAATGACGTTATCTATGGTGAAGCCGTTGGGTGTGCAGCGCTGACGGAGGCGCTTGTACATGTCCAGAGTGAGGAACTTGGCCATATGATTGTTGTGCTGTGTGAGGTCTGGATACTCTTCCTCAGCTGGCCGCAGCTTGATGGTCAACCTGGCTAGTTTAGCATTGCTAAATAAAAACAACAACAACACATGGGGTGTAAAAATACCACGCACTGCTGTCGAAGGATGAAGTCACCTGCTCTGTTGTGTTCTGGTCTGGTTTGAAAGGGGAAGCACCATTTGTCTTACCAAATACGCTGTTAAATTGTTCCAAAAGAAAAGCCGAGTGTTCATGATATTTTTCAGGCCAAGTCTTTCATGTGGCCATGCTAGAATTGGATTTTCCATGCCACTGCATTTTGCACAGATAGGTTGGTCTTATCTATACAGGAACTGTTTTTATTAAATGTTCTCTGCACTAAAACAAGGAGTCAGCAAGGTCACCGTTTAACGCACAATGATAATCATACTTCTTTCTGTTTGCAATGCACCTATATGTTCTAAAATGACATGAGAAGTGGTCTATTGGAGGACTTTGAGTTGTTTTGGGGTCTTTACCTGGGTTATCTACCCCGGTCTGGATTACATCATCCAGTGTAAACCCGCTGGGTGTCTGTTTGGAGCGCAACTTCTCATATAGCACCGGTGTGAGAACCTTGGCCATATGGTTGTTGTGCTTGCTGAGGTCGGGATATTCCTGCTCAGAGGAATACTTCATCTTCAGCTGGTTGTGACTGTTCCCGAAAGGCATGGCTGCTGTTCCCTGAGTGTGGTGGGATTGGGATGGAAAATAATGGTGGTTACACTGAATGTGAAAGAAACCCAAGAGGTTTAACACTAACTCTTGACATTTGAATCAATCTGGAAAAGACTTGTTTTTTTTTGTGGAGAAATATGGATTTCTACACAACTAAAAAGGTCAAACGATATGACGAATTTGTGCTATGGTTCCAAAAATAGTCATAGGGTTGGGAATTCTTTATCTACAGTACATAGACGCCATCCTTAAATATAGGACTGAATCTAAAGTGTAACGAATGACTCCTATTAACTGATTCTTTTTAGTGAATCAAACACATACAATGAACAAATGACTCTTATGAGCCGATTCTTTGTCGTGAATCAAAGACGCATCAGTCTGCTTATAGAATCAATCCGACTTGTATATGAACCGAAAGTTATTACTTTCGTTATGTCCAACTGGAATTGAAACAAGAACTGTGACTTTACATGTTGTGAAAAGTTATTTAAAATATATGTGCCTTAAAATATGTACTTGAAATAATTGTATTACATGATTTTTTTTATTTGCTATATCGGTTCAAATCAGTTGGTAACAAACGGATGATGGCAGTAAATGTAATAATAATAATAATTTAAAATTAAATTATTAATTTTAATAATTAATTAATAATTAATTATTAATTAATTAATAATTAATTAATTATTTTATTATTAAAATAATA